CGTGAGCTTGAGTATAATCAGGTGCTTGCGCGAAAACCCGGTAATTTCTCCTGCGATCTGCTTCTTTAATTACCTTTCGGGACGCTGTAACAACTCTTATCGTGAGCGCCGGAAAAAGCGCGAGGTTCTCTAAGAGGAAAATTCGCGCCATCATGGGCTAGTATTACTTCTTACTCGGTGCTAATGGGAAAATTCAGATAATGCGACATGCCCGGGGATAATTAAGTTTTAAGGATCGCCGTAAAAGCGTGGAATACACGCTTGTAATCGTGCGTGCGCGCTCGCGCGTTTACGCTGATAGTAGCAAGTACGTAGGTGGTGTGAAATTAATAAAACAATCGCCCGAGAATTATGAGCGCAGGAATTTATCTCGCAGTAATGCAAGCTTCAGCCAGGGCTTTGTTTTCCGGCGCATAGACGCCGCCGAAAGTCATTTAAATTATGTTACGCGTCATAATATTAAATTATCTACTACATAGTATGTTTGCGGTAATTCACGTCATCGATTGAATGATAATAATCTATTTATTCAGCGTTCAATTACAAAAGCGCGAAGTTTACAACGTCGGAAACAATTTTTGTCTGCGATATCTGTTGTTTATATTTGACTTAACTGCAATATTTCTTAGCGCGCTATCCAGCTTTTTCATCTACAATTTTTCTCTTAATATGTAACTATATTTTCCAAACGCGAGTGATCCGCCTTTCGTTTATCTATCATCATCTAATCTGCATTCTAAGTCGAGCATTATATTGTATCGTTATTTTATACAGGTGTTCCGTGATAACCTAGTTGCGCGTTATGACGTCATAAAGCCGGCCGATAAACGATACCAGCAGCGAGAATACGAACGGGCAGCGGCGCTCTGAATAAAACGAGATAATGCCCTCAATATGAAGCATCGACCGGAAAGTTGCAGCGCGTGTCGGTTTAAACCGTAGAAACCGTTGTAATTCCATGGGAAATAGTATACTTTGTTATTCATGCTTTCCTCACAAATCCACTTCTGCAATCGTTCGCATCGTGCGCGAAACACGCGCATCGGGAGCATCTAATTTCATTTGAGTAATCTCATTTCGCAAAGTGCATCGAAAGTCGCCTGCATTCGTCCCGCTCTAAGAACTGCATTTACTCATTGTCAGGTTTTTTAAATTGCTAAAGATACACGCGGATGTAAAATCTCGTGTGTAAAACCGTCGCGATTTAGTTTTACGTCGAAGAAATCGTTTTCCCGCGAACGGACAGAAAAAAACACATTGTATCAGAGATCAATAAGGATCATGTCGCAGTGATATTTATGGGCGCAGCGATCTGCCGGGGATATGGTGATACATAAATTCGCCGGATCCGCTAAAAAGTCGTACGCGCTCGGCAGGGCGAGCGCGAGGGAAGGGACGAGCGAAGGGGATGGCGAGAGGGAGGACTGGAAAAAATACCGGCAAAAAGGGGGATCGCGCGAGGAGAGAGCTCTCGCCGACGCTCGCGCGAGGTACTTCTAGTGCGCGTTGCATAGCCCGCGATAAATTTTCATGGATGCCAAAACACTTGCCTGCCCATTTTCTTCTGCCGTTCGCCGTTGTCGCACGGCGCTTGTCGAATATTCGCGCCGAGATACGCGCCGGTCGATTTATCATCTCGCGAGTCTCGAAAGCGGCGGGCTTTGACCGCGGATGGAAGGTTACGTGTGGTTTCCCTCATCCGACAAAGCGACGGGATATATTTCAGAAATGTTTGGTCACTCTAACCAGCATCATATAGCTCTTCTTCCTTTTAGTACCCTTCAATAATATCAAGGTAATATCCGCTATGCACATCGTATATCAGTAGAACGATATTGATTTTCCAAATAGTATAATAGGCAGATGATAAGACAAGATATATAATTGGCGATAGATAACTCTTGATTTGTACATACTTGGAAGCTAAAAGAGGTGAATTTGTTTTAATCCGGCCATAAATAAAAATATTTTCAAGTCAAATACAATGAATAAGTGTTAATCACAATGTGAGAGTGCGCAGTCTATTTGGAATGCGCTTGATGTATATCGAGCGCAAATATTTTTTCATATAGACATTTTTATTCCGCTCGCAACTCGCTGATCCCGACATCTGTCAATGGCAATAAATGCGTTTCGCGTTGAAATTATCGCGCTCGACTTCGTCCGCTAACGAAATGTTAATTCGCGCGAAGCGACGACATTGATTTGTTTAATAACTTTACATATGTACAGTCGCGCGTCGCATCGTTGACGCGTTGATTAAAGCTGCTGCGTAATTATTTTGCTATCTGGTATTTGGCGTGCGCGCTCGACAGAAGACACGTGACGAATTTAATATCGCGCGCGTTTGTACAACGTGTGCACAGCGAAACACGCCGTCAATCATCGTCATCTTTTGGTGCAAACCGATCCGAAATACAATTCCAATTCTGATAAGCGAACGGAAAATTAATTTACATGTGATACATGCGTAATCAAACGACGCTGCTGCGATGCAGCGATGACATGCGGGGAATAATACATTAACGCTTAATAATAAACTCGAGTGAACGATGTCCTTTCAAAGGTAACTGCTGCGGATTGCGGGGTGAACCGCTAACCAAAAATGTATACGCTAACTTCATAATGTTTGATATTATGCAGCAATATCCGTTAATGTGCTATTAATTATTAATAATATGAAGATTTTATGCGCGTTGCTGCTCTGGCGATTATTCTCATAAATTTGACGATATAAAGAATTCAGTGGATGCGTAGAGCGAGAGATTGGCGATTAAACTTAAACGGCAGTGAAGCATCGCGTCCAATCGGTGTCCGCTAATTTTTACCAAGTGTACGATCGTGTATTTTTAAAGCTGTCGAGCTGCCGATAAGATGTTTTTGAAATCGCGCAATCTTATCGAAGGTCGCGTTTACTCTACCTCCTCGGCGAAGAGCGAATGCCGCTTCTAATTGCCGGAAGTGTTAACGCCAATCCATTTCGATCTACAAGCACGTACATCACAAGCATGAGAGGAGGGCAAATGTCGAGGTATCGACTGTCGGCCATTAAGCGACACTTAATGCCTTCGAGGATGTCGTAACCGTAAAGGTGTTTGACTTTTCTCCTGATCGGTAACAACTAGTTCACCTAATCGTCGCGTTTTCTTTCGAAATCTTCCTGTAAACGACCTGCTTTCCGATAAAGCCGAGCGATTAAAGTGAACAATTAAAGAAGAACGAGTTAAAATATTCGTAAATAAACAAATCGTTATTACGGTGCAAGTCGTTTAAGTATGAATTAAAAATACTAATCACATTTTGCATTGTAAAATCGAATTTACATATAATAATGTAATGTATCACCTCTGGTGTGTTTATTTGCTTATTATTCATAGGATTGACTGTTGTATTTTGCATTATTTCCGCCACGGACGAGGCGGATCTATAGGGAATTTCGACGCAATAATTACATATACTAATCCGCAACAAATATATTAATTATTGCTATTATCACATAACATTAAACTCAATAGCTAATAATAGATGCAGAAAACAATATAACTATGCTGAACAACGTGATGTTGAAATGTTGCGCTGCATTGGAATATGATGGAACCGTGATTGGTAGAAAAACTTTGATAGCGATACTATCGCGCCGTTGTGGGAAACGCGAATATTTGCAAAAAGTAATACGAACGATTCTTTGCCAATAAAGGGCGTTTGATGATGAAACGGCAGTTCATGGTCGCTATCGAGTTGCTCTCAATCGAGTTTCGTTCCACTTGAATCGCCGATTTGCATTCCGCACTACTTTTGCTTCTTTGAATGCGAAACTAATAGTAGTCACTCGATTTCTTTTCCCCAATCCAGACCCACGTCCGTAAGAGAGCAGCATGTCGCATCGGGCGAAATTAGGTTACCGTCACCATTTCCTTGTAATTCACAGGAAAGTAGACATTTTCCAATACTTCGCGGATCACAGTGAAAAACAGGAGTTCAACTACAGGAGTTTTCAACTACATTTACAGTCTTTATGAGAGAGTTATAATTTTGTGTTGGTGGTCGAGTTCCAGAAAATCGCTGAAAGCGTAAAATTTATGATTTACGTGAATTCATACTTAACGATCTACCGATTTTATATTAACAAGTATGTACTAAATTTTTTTAAATTAAAGACTGAAAATTATATTGCTACGAACTATTACGATCTGCTTTAATCGAATTTTGAGTGAATTTCTATTTTACGAAAATATTGAGGCATCGATAAAGTTTAAATTATAAGTGATTAAAAAATGGAGTATTTTTGCACATTTTAAAAGCTTTTAAGTTGTCAACAGAAAAAAATTTAATCTTTAGATAATTATAAACAAATATGTTTTTTTAAAAGCTCTATTTAAGATGTCAAACTTTAAAAATTTGTTTACAATCAATTAAGAAAAGAAGTGCAATTTGTTGAAATGCAGTTATGTAAAACAAAACTTTTATTCGTTAATTTTTTTATCGTAACGCTTATAGTAAACATTTGAAATTGAAGAACATATTAATTTTTTATATTTTTAAGTTACTTTTGATAAAAATATTGTAATTAATTTATATGTATGCAACCTATGCAACGAACGTCATTAACGATCCAATGCACGATCGAGATAATTACATTAGATCATTTTCGTCTCACTTGAAACGCAAACACCGAAAGGTTAAACGTAAGGGAGGCGCCGAGCATCTGATGAGAGTTAATTTCTACCTCCTCCGGCTCCGATTAAACGAATTGCAAGAATCGGACGTTTCGAATACGCGAGAGATCGATCTTTTCGCGATGTTAAAGGGCATAGCTCTCTTCGCGCGCGCGCTTAACTCGGTAACAATGGCAAACGGCAAACGGTTGCAAACCGCCCTCGAAAAAACAGCATTCTCTTGGCCTGAAAATGACCGCATCTCTCTCCATCTCCCTCCTCTCCTCACGACTTTTGGGAGAATAACTCGACGTAACTACGTGTACACGTGCGCAACACACATACCTACTCTTGTTTTCGCACACGTTGAGCGGCCGCTTTCATTATCTCTTCGCGCGCAGCTCGTGATGTGTCGTAACGACGACGTGATCAGGACGCTGCGGCATCACGAATCCGAGAAGGAGAAACTCGTTGCCGGGGAAGATCGGCGGATCGGTCGACGATCGACGAACGACACTTGGACTTCCTCACAGTACGGCACTTTCACGGAGTATCGCAATGTGCAATAATCGGCACACTTCCGCGGCAGAATTCCGTTCCGCTTTCAATAAGCGAAGTAAGAATACTGTTCTTGGCCGCTGCGGAAAGTCAAGCCGACTTCGCGTCGACTTGCGATCGGCTCGGAGATTCGTCAACGCAATGTTGAATTGTGCAATCGTGAGGCGAAATCAGTAATCGCTTCGAATCGGCAATTTGTCGCACAGAATCGTCCGGAAAATCCACGTGGCTTGTCGAGACACGTCGTTATGTCGTTACATGGCGAGCAGAGCGGCGCGATCAAACCAGCCAACGCCGTTTAAGCTCGTAACGCTTAATGAGCCGCGATTACACGCGTGCCGTACAGACGATATATCGGACAGGTGAAAGCCGGAACTTGAGGCGTCAGATGCACCGGCAATCGAATTATCACGATCTATTGTTCGCGGTGGTTCGCTTAATGCCACACACGTGCCAACACGTTGCTGCTTGACGCCGCCGTGATCGAGCTATCAATAGACCGTGTCACCAGGTATGTGTTGCTTCGCGTCCGGCTTCTTACTTTCTTTGGTTTCACCGTACTCTAAAGCGTAGCGATCAGCGTTGCACTTTGAAGCGTCGAATCAAAGAACGGAAAAAGACGAAGGTCGCGTCCCACTTGCGAAGCGAATTTTTCGAAAATTTCCGAAATTAAACAACACGCTATAAATAGCTATTCATATTTAAATGTTTGCACTTATCGTCGTTTGTAGAGTTGATTACGTTACGAGGCGTCGTTCGATTCGTGACGCTCGCGATGACCGTCTGACCATACGGTCGACTTTGCCACTGGCGAGAAATTTTGAACCTATGCGCTTGGCTTGTAGGTATTCCAGGTGTTTGAACGCTTAATTAAATTCTCCGGCGAATGTCGTGCGTACTTGATCTGTAGACACTCGGCGGCACATTATTGACTGTGAGCCCTCCTTTCGAGTGGAGCTTTTCTTCTAGAAAACTGCGTCTCATAAAACGCGTGGGTTTATTGTGCAACGTAATCTCACACGGACAATCGCAGTTTATTGGCACAGAAAGTTCTTTGCGGAACTTGATTTTTCCTCCAGCAAGTACTAATTTTCGCAATTCAATCGTAAGGACTCATCGTATTTCGATCACTTTTTCTTCGTTCTTCGAACTCTCATTTATTCGCGTCAACACAAAGACACTCTTGTATCACTACAGCGGATAAACATTTTGGACGTGAGATTAATGTGCGTTTAAAGGTGATACTTTGAATCCTTAGCATCGTGCTTAACGGTATCTAAATTTACTATCTCGGTATTTACGCTTACGTCATTTCAAAGTTTAATAATTGCCAATTAAGCATTTATACTTGTCGTTGTATGCGAATCGCATTCTTCATTTTTCACGTGAGACAATCTATTTCAATTATGTTTAGAGTTTTGTCGACGATCGCAGCGTCGGTAACGCGTACGAATCGGCATGGACACCACGGTGTGTTCCATTCGCACGAAGCGCGTTCATCCAATGACAGCGAACACTTACACTGACATGGCGCACACAATTTCGAGTATCGTTCAAGTTCACGGCTCTCGTCACAAATTCTTTCGCACCGAAAGATCCCACCGCGTTCACGAATTCCTAATTCTATTCGCGATCGCCAACGAACATCACGTCGCCGTTCCCCCGTTCCGATCGAGTACGCATCGTGTATCTAATGTCAGTTACGAAACGCCGGCGATCATACGTACGAACACAAACTTCTAGAAAGTGCCGCATTCTCCAGCCGTCAAGTGGTCGCACCGCGTTTCGGCCAGCCGCGTCGCCGTCCACTTATCGTTAGGATTCTCCGAATGCCTGGGCCGGCACTATCGTAAACCGTAGCCCTGATCACCCTCGCGCTTTCAATGGCATTCGATGCTGGACAGCGGTTACCCACGTCGATGGGTCACCCACACAAAGCTCTCTCCACCGCCCGCTGTTAAAGGGAAACGTCAACGTGCCGCGCGTTCACCACGTTGCTCTCGCTCGCTGCTCATCTACGCGCTCTCTCCTTGATCGTCGTCGTTGTCGATGACGACGTCGACGTCTCGTTAGCAGCACCGTCTCTACGCACTCTCGTCAGATGCACACGCCGCTCGCGTAGACAGATCGCGTGTTCAGGTTCCCACGTCACTCTCTCCTCGCCCCGCCGGGTGCTCGTCCGGTCGGTCGTACGATCGTCGGTCCGCGCGCGTGCGAGACGACGAGTCACGCTGGTTGATACTCCAGACCCCGGGATGTAGGTTAGAACGACGCCGCCGCCGAGAAACGCGTACCGCAACGCGGACACCCGGGACACCCGTCGGACAGAGACAGAGAGAACGAGAAACGAAAAGAGAGAGCGACAGTTGAGGGAGAGAGGAAGAGAGAGTGGTTCGTCGGCTTCTCCTCCTTCGTTGCCCGGGGAGCGGCTATGGCGGCGGCCTGGCTCTCACTGCTGCCTTCCCTCGGCGCGGGGTGACTCGCGGGGGTTGGTTACGCGCGGGGCGAGGAAGCGCGATTATCTCGCAGCATCCCCTAGCGCGCAGGACCAATCCGTACGGTACCGGCGCTTGACGACGGCGTAGGGTGTGCATAGGTTGGTAGAAGATAGCTAGAGAAAGGGTGAGAAAGGGAGAGACAGACAGAGAGAAGCAGAGAGAGAGAGAGTGGAGGATAGGTAGAGTTCGGGACGGGTGATAGATAAAGAGAGAGAACGTTGAGAGGGAAAGAGATGGTGCGAAGAATAACGTTGAAAAGAGACACTCGTTGGGGTTGAAACGGGTGAGCGAGCGAGTGAGCGAGCAAGAGTGAGTGAGGGAGGGAGTGAGAGTGAGTGAGTGAGTGAGTGAGTGAGTGAGTGAGTGAGTGAGTAAGTGAGTGAGAGAGAGAGAGAGAGAGAGAGAGAGAGAGAGAGAAGCAAAAACAGGATGGTTGAAACGAGACAACGAGAGGTCGAGAAAGTGGATAAAACAGGGGTGAGTCGCGCGAAAGAGAGAGAGAGAGCGAAAGAACGCGTGCAGAAAGGGAAATGAAGACGAGACGACAGCAGGGAGTGCTTGATGAGACGAAGATAACAACAACAGTGACGGTTGAAAGAGAGAGAGAAGAAACGCGGCGTCTATTGAAGCGAGACGGAGCGACGTTTGTGAGGATCTTCTAGAACGAGACAGGGTGTGGAACATAGCATGCGAGACAGAGCGTGAACGTAAGAGAAAGCAGAAGCGGAAGACGTGGGTCGCCTCGGAAGAATGCGCCGATCAAACAGAGACGGCAGACGTGGCGCGAAAGGAGTCGAGAACGGCGAGAACTGCAAATCGAACAGGATCGAGAAATCGAGGGAGAGAGTGTGTCTTCTCGGAAGATATAGTTCGTCATTTTCTCCGCAAAGGCTTCGCGCAAAGGCTCCGCGTACCGTACAAACGGTGAAAAGTTGCGCCGGGAGGTACAGACAAGAGAGGTATACCTACCTTGCGGCATCTAAACAGTAAACGATGATTCGCGTGCGTCAAACAGACGCGCTTCCACACGGCACGAAGTTTTGAATCGTACGCAACGCGATACGATACAAAGCAAATACACGGAGCGAGACGCGAGGTGATCCAAAACACGAGTTCAATTTGGTACTTCCAAAGAAGTTGCGCACCGATGTGAAAAAGTCTGACGACTACTGTATCGCAGGAGGAAAGATAGAGGAAAAGCGAATGGGCGGAAGATAGACTGAAAAAGAATTGACACATCATGTCAGGCACTATTGAAAGTTCCGGGGGTGAAAACGCGAAAGATCTCCTGTATTATCGACGCACCCCTTTGCGCGCGGTCTAGTTAGTTCAGTGAAAATATGCATGTGAAAACGTGCATTTTTCTCGAAAATCGTCGAGTATCCTCGAAATTTAAAGAGGAAAACTTGTCTTTTATGCATTTTTTTATCGAATGATTATTGTCTGACTCTGTATGACTGTACGTTTCTCTTTTTTTTTTCTCCTTTACTCTCTTTTTTAAATAATTTGAAAAAAGATAGAATTTTATATCTGTATCATATTTTGCAGAAATGTATTTGACGTGAACGCATGTAAAATATGAAAGATACAAGACTGTACACTTTGAATTGATTGTATAAATTTATTTCTTAGAACAGATTCGGGTCTGATACGCCTAACAGATGGGAGGGTTAAAGAGGGTGAGATATATATAACTCTTTATCACAAAGAATTTTTGCGTCCTGTCCAAAAAAAAATAAAAGAAAAGAAGGTAGTTTCAGTCACGAAACACGTTCGGAATTGACGTCGTGATGTCGTCACGAAACGTTTATTAATATTTTACATTATGACTGAGTTTTTCAAATCACGATAATGATAACAAATAAAAAAATGTGCATTTTGTTATTATATTTCAATTATCGTGATTTTGAAGAATCAATCATAAGGTAAATATTAATAGATAACGAATGTATCTTATACGTGAATAAAACTATTCTCTTTCTCATAGATTTATTGTCAATAGTAGAGACAGTATGAAAGCAGCCGCTCTTCTCTTTCACTTGATTGTTTACACACGATATGCATTCATAATTGTCTCTGAAGTGCTCGAAGGTACGAGTATATACGAGTATAACTCATGTACTTCAATACACGCGTAATCCGAATACACGAGGAGTCCCAATGCGCGTGTATCGTCATTCCGTCGCGGACACGGCAAGGTAGATGAGGCATAAAAAAGAGATCGAGTCATTTCTGATGAAGAGTATGCGGAAGAGAACGGTCGCGATGATGCATCGTTGGCCAAGGGTTGTATCACTTGGATCGACTTATAAAATATTCATGAGGAAAGTTTTATCGGTGGAATCGCACAGCAGAGAAGCTGACTCGAGTATGAAAGTGTCGTTAGGGACGCTCACCTGTCTCTTTCTCTTTACATTTCAGTTCTTCCTTCTTTTTTCCGCTTTCGCACCATGTCAGTGTAAAATATCCGTTTGCACGCAATTTTAAGAGATCGTTACATTTATGTCTTGCATGCTTTCCATGTTTTGTTAAAATCCATTTTTTTCTTAACAGAAATGTTAATCATACTTTTGACTTGAAAAATTAAAACTAAATTTTTTTGCACAGAATAATGTTTGAAATGACAAGTAGATATATAAATTTAACAATTTTATAGTATAATAATCAAGATATTTATATTTTATCATTTTCGTGTGCAATCTTGTCTCGTATAATTGTACAAATCCGCAAAATTAATGTAAAATAAAAATATAGATGTAGAATCTGAATAAAAAGACTTGTAAAATATAAGATGTTGACAATGCTCGCTAATAAAGTACAAAATGAGATGAAAACTAGATGAAATTAAAACGAAGTAAACGTAGCTGCATTTGTACACGCACTTGTAAGTTTATGTCAAAGCACAAAGTAAATAAAACGAGTCGTCTCACAACGTGAAGAGCGCGTCTCTCGAGAAGACAATATTATTGTTGGCACCGAATGACGGTGGAAGCAATTATCTCTCGACACTCTCTTGTGATTTGATGAGCACCACTCTACTCTCGTGATGTTTCGATGCTTGAAGATGCATCGATATAGATCGTTGGAGCGGTTAGACCGTAGTGTAAATGCACTTTACTGAAATTCTGTTTGTGTAAACAACTTAACACACTGATGAGCACATACACACAATTCTATTCGAATAAAAATATATAAATTACAATAAGATGACGAAAAATATTTCCATCGGTTGATCACTTGAAGTCAATTATATAAATGATTATCTAACATTGGAAAGAATTGTGCGCTATAAACAACGTTAATCTTTACACGGGAGATATTTAACTGCATCCTATCTTCAGCCGGGTGATTCATCAAGCGTCACGGTAATTAACGAGTGTGCTTGTCTTCGATTTGCCTGACAACTGACCCACCGATCGATTAATCATACACCATTCCAATTATATCTGCGTGGTGCGCGGTATCGTCCTAAGAGTGGATTCATTTTTCAACGGTGCACACGTAGGAGGTACGGGAACTGCGGGCCGGATCCATCGATCGTTTCTCGTCGAGCATCCGCGCGCTCGCAATTAGGAAGTACTCACAAAGTACACAGAGACGGAGCGGTTGATGGGCGGGACGGAGGAGCGGGACGAGAGAGTTCACAGAGTGGTTGGGTTTATACGCGCGTACACATCATTTCTAACGTTCGACTCGCGCGCTGCTCCTTTTTCCAGGACGTGAATTGAGATCGTGATGCGCTCCGACGAAGGATACTCGTACTCTGACGCTGCGTTTTAAGCATGCAAACGCAGTTTTTAACTGTGCTACTTTTTATCAATTAGAGTGGTTCAGTGCCAGAGTTGCCTAACCAATAAAATTTTATAATCACTGATTCCTGTACAGCGTGGCTGCAAATGATTTGGACTTCAATATCTTATTTTAGAGAAATTGTTGGTGACTGAACCACTCAATTGACAATACGCATTACACAGTTGTTATTTTGTTGTTCCCATCTTTTTATACACATTTTAATAACTTTAGCACGCGAGAGCAGACTTGTGTATATCATCCTAAGAATTATTTTAATTATTAGCAATCTTAAAATGACGTCGAGTTTAGAGAATACAAGAGATAAAAAAAAATTTTCCGATATAATTCCAAGGCTGCGTGTTATCACAGTTTATTAAAACATTTTCGCGCGAATTGTGTATTTATTATCTTGTGAACGGATTTTCAAGCAAATCACTAATCCTAATTGAGAGAAAATCGTTTGACGTGTATATTTCATAAAGCCAAAATTAACAATTCTTTTATCGGATAATTTGTCTAGCCGCGTTAATTACTCGCCGCCTTCGGCGACTTGCGATTTACTCGTAATATAACAGAAGTTGTTCCGTAGTCGTGGTATTATACGCCTCGCCCTACCGTTTATGCGTATTCGAGGCGCTTCGCGGGAAAAGCTTCTTTCCCGGAGACTATCCATTACGAGGAGTTACAGGTAGTTAGGAGAGCAGTTCCTATTGTAACCCAGCGCATCAATAATCCCCTTGCGGCAAAGACTCAACCGCCGAGAGACAACCACCTCTCGGTGTTCTAAGAATACCCCGCTACCCCTTTCTAAAGAGATGTGTGCTCTTGATTAAAGCTGTCACCCCTTTCTGTTGTTTTTCTTCACCGACACTGTAAGCAATACCTTAATAAACAGCCACGTTCCGTGCATCCTAGAAATATCGAAGGGATCGATCGAGTCGTGATCGAGACCAGTGGTCGATCGGGGCACCCAAAAATAGGAAAAATACGTCGCAGTTTTATTAACTTGAATAATTTCATACATTACTCGCTTCGTGCCATCGCTCGAAAACACAAACGCTTTTTCCTCTATTTTCTAGGAATATTTGCTTTTCCTTCATTTTTCGATATGCCATTATCTCACATATCTACCATATTTCAGATA